TGTATCTTACTCAAATTTTGATCATTTTAATTTATTTTTTCTGGAATATGAAAGATACTTCAAAAGTATAATTTTTACAGCTTAGATCATGTAATTTGGTTAAGTATTAGTTGAGTTATGATAGATTTTGTATTTGAGTGTACTTAGTGTGACAAAAATCACAAATTGTGTGTGTGACAATAGGCATGGTCAAACCTTGCAATTCTCTGCACAATTCACCTTGCAATTCTAGAGGGTGAATTGTAAGGTGAATCATGTGTGCAGGTTTGACCAGCACACTTGTACATGCATGATTCACCTCAATATACTGACCCTTGATCTTAAAATTATATAATATAAAATTAAAGAAATAGTTTTTTTTTGTGCATATACATTTGGCCATGTCAAGAAGGACTTGATATGTGTGTAGTGATGTGTAAGAAGACAACAGAGCTTGGTAGCAGAGAACACAAGGATTTTTTACAGAACAGAGGACAGTATGTATACTGTAGTGCTCACAAGGAAGAGGCAAATCATCTTACTGTTTTTGGAATTTAGAGGTGAAAAGAAGCTTAGTTTTATTTTTGTAATACATGTACATATTTGGAAATAGATATGAGTAGAGGTGAATCGTGGGGGTGAATTGCAAGGCAAATTGTGTCAAAGTGCAATTCACCTTTCAGCACGATTCACCCTGAATCACTGGGGTTCTGGGGTCTGCAATTCACTTTGCATGAAAGTGAATTGCACAGGTGAATCGCGCACTGAATCGCAAGGTTTGACCACACCTAATATTTATGAAAACGACAGTAACATCACTATTAATAGGGAAAAAGAAGAAACACACAAAAAGTAGAAGTAGAAAGTAGAAAGTAAAGTAAAAATAAAATATCAACATGAACATGAACATGAAAAAAACTCAGGCATAAATACGTAAAAGCAATAAACCTGAAAAACACGAAAAAAAGCTAGAAGTAAAAACTTAACCTATTCTCGAAGAGTAACTCGAAAGGGAAAAAGGGACGTCAGAAAAACACAAAACCAGAAAGAAAAAGGAAGACTAAAATATAGTACTCATCTTCGTACGAGCTACGTAAAGACGTGGGTGGATGGTGGGTGGGTTATGGATCAGGAAGAGAAAAGGGTGATGTCGGAAGAAACGTGATACAAATACACAAAAGATATTGCTACTTGCTTGATTGGGCAACTACATCTTGTCAAGAGCTATAATGCTATACGCTAGAGGGAGGAATGGGGTCCATTTCGTAAATGCATGTGAAAGGCCGGAATGGAAAGAGAAAAAAATGAGGGGAAAAGTAAAGGAAAGGGGCTCGGAGCCGACTAGCCTAGTGATCTTGCGCGTGTATATGCTTCTCGCTGGGCTATTGTTGCTGAGCCGACTTCTTCGCGTCTTCCTGGAGTTTCTGCCAAAGCAGCTCGGCCCATAGAGGATGAGGCGGGATGTGACCGACAAGAGCACGGAAGATTTCGAGCCTATCGACAAAACTTCAGATGATAAATTCCTGTAATGATAACTACTGAAGCATACCATTTCGCCTTCTCTTCATCGGTATCCGCAAAGAAAGTAATCCCCTGGTTATGCGGGAACACCAAGCGGAATGAACGTTCAACACCATACATCGCGTCGAAGTCATCAACGTCTCGACGTTTCGTGACATTCTTCGGGTCCTGGTCATCCTCAATAGCAATGGCTTTCTTCAAGTCAATCGTAGCAGTCGCACGCTTGGTGACATCATTGAACGCGACCAAGTTACCACCGATGACACGAAGTTGCCTCCTTCGCCACGTCTACAAGGAATACATGTCAATATTCCTGGGCTCGGTCTTGCAATATAAAAGTAACTCACAGAACAGTCTCCACCCAACTGAGTCAAAACGCCCTCATGGTACGTCACCTTATGCCAATTAATATTCCTAAGCCCACGATGACACTCGTCCAAGCTCTGAGGAAGTTGGTTCGGCGGAACTCCAGGCAACGGAGGAAGCCTAAAGATCTGAAGTATAATCTCCCCAACTTGCTTCGGTACCATCGTCCCACCCGCACCACCACCTTCACCAGGAGCTTCAAGACGCTGACCGATAAGCGGGAACGCAGTCTCGAATAGCCGCGTATCACAATGTCTCGCGATATCCTTGAACGCAACAAAGGCACGAGCTAGTGTTCCATCCTGTTTCATGTATCGCGCCAGGTTCTCTTCTAACACAAAACGCACGAGTGGCTCTGTCTGTGCACGGCTGTGCTTGGACACCTTGGGTTTTTTAGGCGTACCGCCAAAGAAACCGCGCACGCCTCGAGATGTAGGCGATGGTATCGCTTGTACAGGAGGAACAGCCGGCGCAGTAATCGCCTTGAATTGTTGTAGAATGTGAGGATCGCGGCGTACTTTGAGTGTTAATGAGAACTCCAGCTTCGTATGTTCAATTCTACGTAGGCAAAGTAAGCTTTTGCTTCAATAAATAAACGGAACTGTGCGTACAACTCGAACTCCTGCTCAATCTTGGCTTCACGCGTGAGCCGGCATTCGGGCGTGGTCACATAGTGGATACCGTTGTTGAGAGTACAACTAAACATAGTATGTTGAGGTGGCAGTGGTACGGATAGCGCTCGTAATTTTATGACTATAAAAGCCGAGTTAATCACCTGATAATAAGTGATTGCTTCATTGAACGCACCTTTTACGAAGAGCCTGCCATGCGATTTACCAGGCTTCTCTTGCGCGCGGAATTCTTTGATCTGCCGAGCGTACTCGTCCTACAGAAACATGTCAGTATCAAATGAGGTGCAAGAAAGACAAACAAATGCGTGCCATATCACTAGGACGGCGAACCGTTCTCCACGCCTTATCCTCAACATCAAGGCTTTGGCTTACCCGTGCCATAGCTTCCTCTTGTGACGACGAAGCATAAACCACATCATGCTCGCGAAGCTCGTAAGTCTATAAAGCAAAGTGAATCAGCATTGGTCAGATCTACTTGGACATAGAAAAGACTTAATCCCTACCTTCTTTGGATCGTCTCGCTTTTTCAGCTCGCGTTCAATGCTATTAGATAACATGTCTTCCCCGTCATCCAGAGCAACGCCGAGAACTCCACCCCGTCTCTTACGGAGTGCAGATACCCGTCGTTGGTTGGAAGGGCCAGGCGCATCCTAAGACAGTAGAAGGGGATTTTAAGTACACAGTCACACTGCAGTCTGTATTAGAAGAGAGCAACGGTTTACCTCGCTCATAATATCTTCTGCGTCCCCAGCGCTCATACTACGTCCCGCACTCGGCCGGGAAGTCGTTCTTCTTCTGCTCGCCGGGCTCTCGTCAAGTAGATTCCCAGAGGCATCTCGCCGAGGTGGCACAAAGTATTCACCCGACTCTCGCGCCCTAGCCTCTCGACGTTTCTCCCTAATCATCTCCTCGCGAGCCTGACGGGCACTCTTCTCAGGCGTCTTCGGCGGTACAGGCGGCGGAGCACCAGTGTCTTGACCAGCAGAACCCTGACCAGTTCGCGGAAACGGTTGTGCAGCACTGTGAAAGGCAGCAGCGGAAGACCCACCAGGCATCGTTACTTCAGAAGCACTTCGAGATATAGGTGGCCTCTCAGGAGTGGAAGTAGAAGGCAAACTAGGAAACGGCGCCGTTCCTGCTCGCTGCACTTGTGGCCTCTCGTGAGTCGGCTCACGCAGATTGGCAAGCAGATCCGTGCTTTCCTCTGTAATGAGCTCTGTCTCGGCCATGCTAACATCTCCGTCAGACGTTGTCGCGCCGGACCGATCAATTTCTACGTTGCCTCGCCCTGTGGTATTAGCTGATGTGGGCTCTACACCTCCGGCGATGCTCACGTCGTCAACAAGACGTTCAAGTGCACTACGCATGTCCATCTCCGCGATATCAACGCCTGGCCGGTTGAAATCAAACGATGAGGACATTGGAGAACGAGGTTCGATAATCTTAGCAGGCGTCGAAGGCGGACGCTCATCGAAGTCATATGTTTGTGCACGACCATGTTGTCCAACTCGAGGAGGCGATACCATCGGAGGTGATACGATAGGAGTTCCACGAGGAGAATGGGATGGACCATCTCGAATCGGCGGTGGGGGCGACATAGGGTCATACGAAGGTGCTGCTGGGGAGGGTGGCGCGGATGAAGTTGACGGTCCAACAGCAGGTCTCACAAGCACAGGCGCAGGAAGATTTGGAGAAAGTGCTCTCTTTAGTCGTTCCTCAAGCGGAGGTCTCGATTGCGGTTTCTCCATCTCTATCTGAGAAGGAGTAGGAGGAAGACTGACATACTCATCCGAGTCCATATTTGCATCCTCTCCTGCCTTCTCCTCAAGTCTAGGCAAGGCCGACATAGAGGAACCAAGTGCAGGTAATTCCAACGGAGTGTAGCTCTCGTTCGAGCGCTGCCTAGAGAGCTTGCGCAAAACATCTTCCCGGTTAATACGCGGACTCCTGCTTCGCCTGCCGTCAGCGTCTGTTAGACTGCCAGAACTCCCGATGTTAGGCTGCGCATATAGTCCATGATTCCTTGGCGAATGAGGCCCAAAGTCTGTGTTGCGATCTCGATCAAGTAGCGGGGATGCATGGGGTTCAGGTTCTTTGTTCAACTCCTGGTACTCGCGCTCCGTATCATCTTCCAAATCCTTCTGGATGTCTTTTTGTAATTCATCCAGATCTTGCTTCACAGCACCGCCTTCGAATGAGTCATCTTTTAATCGCAACTCAGAGACGATGGCATCGAGCGACCTGTCCGACCGTACGCCAAACGAAACATCCATCGAACGCCGATGTTCATCATCCTCGTAGTCGGGCTGCGGAGGATACTCATGGAAACTCGCAATTGACGTACTAGAGAGCACTTCTTCATCAACATCAGGATGGTCAAACTCAAACTCTGCAAGCACATCATTAGCGGCACCTGGTGAACCGAACACATCTATTATTTAGAAGTAAATTATCACATTAGTCATGTTACTATCCTATATATTAAAATAAAACAATAAAATAAATGCTTACCTTCACCTGAAGTTCTACGCTCCTTGGTAGATCCGAGCGGAGAGCTTGTCCGAACGTTGTCGAGACCCAAGTCGAATTTTGGAAGAAGCCCTTCCGGTGGAGGCTGACTATGCATCGGTGCAGCTTTCTTGGCCGGGCTAGGACTTGGCTGCAGCGCTTTCGCGTCCAATTCTATACTTGACTCATGCGCAGCCCGGACGCGATCTGCATGATGTGTCCGACCAAGTGGCATTCCGTCCTCGGCGCGTTCCGTATCCGGAGGAAGGGAAGGCAGTGGCGCCTTTCCATATGAGCTGAACGTTGGTGTACTGTGCCCTCGTGGTGTTTGTGGGTCTCCCTGTTCTTGACGCGGAGGTGTAAAGAATGTAGTGTCATCATTAGGGAACACGGCGGGTAGTGGAGGCTGCGTATCATTAAGTTCATGCTGGTGAGCACGGACTCGGTCTACATGATGAGACCGCCCAAGTGGAACACCACCCTCGGCTCCTCCAGGCATTAAGTCGATATCCGTCGCAATTGATGACAACGATGCCGTGTTGGTCTCTGGTGTAGATGGTTCACTAAGCGAGGTGGCTTCCTGCTCCTGTAGCATTGAATCCACGAGCCCATTGATGCTATCATCGAGCGCAGCTGCATCAAAATATTCAGACCCTTCAGGTGACGTGTCCTCGTCATGGTTCCTCTGGGGTTCCGGAGCACCATACACGTGCTCATCGTCAGTGTCGAATACAGCATCCTCACAGCTTTCACGGTCAAACTCAACAACATCACAACGCTCGTCGAAAGTAACAGTCTTCCGCCGTTCGCGGCGTGGAGGTACTTCCTTTGTCGGCGACCCGCTGGCTCCGGCGGACAAAGAGCGGGAGCGTGGACCTAGCAATCGGGATTTCGTTACAAGCGCCGAACGTGCTGGAGAACCCTGCAGAGCGGAAGGTCCAGGTGAGCGCCGTTCAAAGCCTGGAGATGGTGTAAAGGGTGGAGGGGTAGCGCGTTTTGGGGGTGTCCGCGGGCGTGTCTCGCTCTCTCTGCTATTTACTGAGGAGTCTGTCTCCGTCGTCTCAGGACTCGTCGTGTCGTCGCCTTTCGCAGGAAATTCTATAGCAATTGGCATGTTCATGTCTATGTCCATGTCAACGTCCCTGTCATATTGATTCTCGATGTCCTTGCTATCTCCATCTTTCTTGGCCCTACTTGGACCCATAAGCTGACGAAAGGGGCTCTTCGAAACAGGACCCTTGTCCATTAGTCCTTGGAAACCCCTCGATTGACGACGCTTATAACCAAGCTCGCTAACTCTCCGCTCATCCTCTTGTTCCTGTTGTTGGATGAGAGACTCGGGCCGTGGCCGCTTCTCGCCGCTGACCTTGCGCGCAGTAGGCAATACTGGACGCGGACGCGGACTGTTTGGCAGAGCTTCGGCTGCAGTTGGTTGACGTGGAGCGAGCTGCGACTTGAACGGCGAGCGAGAGACGAGATTATTATTGAACATATGTTTATAGCTGTTGCTTGAGCGGCGGGCGACGACGACATGCGCAGGACCAGCGGCAGCCGGATTAGGACTTAATGATGAGGAAGGAGATAGGTGATCGCGCTTCGCAATTCGCAGAGGTGTGGTGCCCGCATTGGACCAGCCAGTAGAGGACTCCTTGAGGATGTTGTCCTTGATCCTGTCGGCTCGTGGCCGCAGGGGCGTTGAGGTCGACGACGTTGAAGGCGGCATGGATTGCCCAAGCAGCTTAGCAGGACCAGCAGCAGCAGGAGATGGACGTCGAAGACAAAGTGAAATGCCAAAAGGGGGCAAGCCCAAAGTCCAACACACACCGCGTCGGTCACGTGGACGCGTTCCCTTTCTTTGCCGCGCATACATCCACACTCTCGTCGACGTTGTGGCCGTCATCCAGCCAGGTTTACAGCAAAGAGGAAAACGCCTAAGTGACGAGTGCGTTTTTTATTCTCTTGGGCGATGTGGACATTTTCTTAATCGGAGGTACTTTTTAGGAGTGGAAGGCAGTTGACACAATCTGCGACAGCTGCATCGCATTCGTCCACACAGGACTCGGCTTTTCCTGTTCTCGCGCCCCAAGAGCAATCTCGGACGCATTCATTATCTCCAGTGCGAGATGGACATGACAACGGGAGGCGCTCTACGACACTTGTTAACACGTCGGGAGTTGAGCAGCAGGGCTATATTACCAACAATGATGAGCACAGCTCTGGTATTGCTGCGAGAGTGAATCTACCCACACAGACCTCGGTGTTGTCTGAACCTGTAGGCGAGGAACTGTCTCGCACGCAATCAGTATCTCCACTACAGGATGTATGTGACGATACGTGGCGTTCTGAAACGCTTGTCGACTCGCCAAGCCAAAATGAAGGCGAGGACAAGCTTGGCGCTGGCATCTACGATCCGAAAACTGCAACGGCAGAGATACGAGAGCGTCCCGTTTTACCCGAGACTCCGTATTCCCTGCCGGTTTTTGAGAATCTTCGTCCTGGCACGCCCTGTAATTCTGGAGACTCGCTCACCTCTGAGCAAGAACTTCTCTTTCCCTCAGAAGAGCTACCCAAGCCAACCGAAAACGACGATTACCTGCATACGAATGTGCAAGACTCGCGCGCAATGACGGTTAATACCGTCAAAGCAGACTGGAACATGGAAAACGAGGTGAGTCCGGTTAATCGTCATCCTGGCGTTACAAAGAATCATATTCATACGTTATCGCAAAACAGCTCTCAATAATGGAGAAGCCTGATAGCAAGTCCGACACTGCAGACGGAGAAAGGAGCGAGCTCAAAGACGTGGACGTCGACACAGAACATGCACGAGAAGCGTCGAGATTGGAACGGTCACGTGAGGAACCACCCCAACCAGGGGATGCAGGGAGCAAGGAGACACACGATGAAGCCAGTATGGACGTTGACCTGGAGCCGGTTCCGAAGAATATGCGTGAGCTGCTCGCATGGATAGAGAAGCGTGAGGGCCCTCTGGACAACCTGCTCTTGATTGGGGAGCAGATCAAGGCAGGAATGGAGAAGTAGAATGGACAGTGCATTCTTGACGGGAGTAAACTAAAGTAAAAATGAATTGTAGCACGCGACAATGTTAATCATAACTGATAGACTGGCCGTTGTCACCATCACCAATTCCATCCTCCTCCAAATGCTCGAGATACGATAGGACCGCCTCCTGCTTCACCATGGAATGGAATGTGAACCGGCTTGCCCATATTTTCCTAATTGTCTCATTTGCTGTAGGATTCATTCTCAACAGACTCTTCAGCTTCTCCTTTATCTCTCCAGGTATCTCCGAAAATGAATCCGACGCCGGGCCTGTTATCGAAGAAATGTTTAGCGTATATATGCATTAAACTAGAGGAAATTACTAACCATCCCCGTTGCCTCTCTCCGCCTTAATCCATTCGCAAAATGATAGAATGTCATCAATCTGAACGTGATTCTCCTTTGCCACCCGAAAAAGCATCTCCTCCACGTCGACCACCTTGGCGGCAGTCAACTGTCGAAGAACGTCTCTAACATTTTTAGGGATGGAGCCGAACACTGAAAACTCAAACAGCTAAGTATTTCTCTAGCTATGAGTATAGCAGGCAGAAAGAGTACTTACAGATATCTTCTTCAGAAGGTGGATGATATAAAGAAACCCAATCTCTCTGCCTCTTATTAATATAATAAACTAAATGATCAACCCGAAACCAATCAGTTCCAGCCTCAATCACGTCGTTAACGCAAGCCTTCCTTAATTTAAGAAGGATTGGCTTGTTAGGCTGAAAATGGACGCTCAAAAAGTCTAAGTATAATAAACAGAGCAAAATTAGTAGAACGCTAAAATGGGTACAATTATGAAGGTTTACCTTCAATAATGGCTCTCCCTTTCCCATTAACAGTTCTTCTTGCTCGAGTAGTACTAGTAGAGCTAGAAGATGAAATGCGTCGAGACCACATTTAGAAGAAATAATGAATGCCACTCAGGTCCGGAAGTATACAGGGTGTGGAATGGGTGAGGGGTTTCGGATATCCACTGTCGATCCACATAAAGTAGTAAATCACATGAGTGGCCAGAACTCACATGTAACCTCTTTCGGAGGCTACACTCTTCCCAACCGAGGAAAATCAGAAATCGGGAGAAATCAGGAGAAAAGATAGAGAAAGGAAAGGAAGGAGGAGGAAGGAGAATTGATAGTACATTAGAGTCTGTGCAAATGTAAGGTAAAAATAAATGTTGTGAATAAAACTTGCACCTCTTTAACTAATTATATTCCAAGCTAATAAAGACAGATTTTATACATACTAGAAACAAGAAGAAAACAAGACAGAAGAGTGGAAAAAAGCTAAAGAATTACTATATAAAATAATTAGTTTTTATATTAGAGAGAGTATTAAAAGGTTTGGAAAAGAAACAAAGAAATAATAAATATATAAGACAATAAATTACTCAGTAAATACTTACTACTCATCTACTGTATACTTACTGAATGCTCACTAAGTACTCACTACTTGCCTAGTGAATGCCTACTGTATACTCACATTTAAAGAATTTTAAATTTATTTTAACATTTTTCTTTATAAGAATTACAAAATTAATTTATAGTTTCTTACAACATTATAATTTAAAGATCTCTGATATAAAACCACAGTATAATATATTATTTTCAAGGGAAAAAATGTTGAATTGCTTAATATGTTTCCTTTCCCTTTATCCATCCAGTAATCCACACCCCCACTCTGCTGTTGTAGACATTGTGGCCTTCATCCAGGTTTACAGCAAAGAAGAACTCAATTATGATTGACAGTGTTGTATACCATAATTCATTCTAATTTTTACCCCTGTCAAGAAAGTAATGACCATGTATGATTTTATTTCTTCATCCCTGCCTTGATCTGCTCCCCAATCAAGAGCAGGTTGTCCAGAGGGCCCTCACGCTTCTCTATCCAT